CTCCGTCCTGAAGGACCTCCTCTCCAGCATCGAGAAGAAGGTGAGCGTAGCAGACTCATGGGCCTTAGAGTTGCTAGGGCAGGCGGCCGTTCCTCAGAAAAGGATGCAAGGACTGGGTTCTGTGTGTGTTTGCGTGTGTGTATATATGTAATCTGTTTGCTCTCTTCCGGACTCCAGAACCATCTTCTTTCCTCTTGTGGTTTAAAACATCCTGCAATTTGGAGGGATGCTGATGGCAGTCTTGCAACCCAGAAAAAGAAAGGAAAGGAAAGGACAGGAAAGGACAGGAAAGGAAAGGACAAAGGATGCAAGCATCCCAGGCATCTCTAGGTTTTGGGGAGTCTCTGATTTGGCTGGAAAATGGGGCCGCAAGGGGCAGTAAGGAGGGTGGCATTTTTAAAAAATGTCAAATACATGGAAATGGCGTTGGAGGATGAGTTTTTGAGCCAAATGTTCCGTTTCCACTGATCAAGTTAGTTTTCTCGGTTGGGTCCAGACACTGTCGAGGGAGTCAAATTTCGCCCTTGTTTTACATTCCAGATGTTGATTCAGCAATATCCTAATTTTGTATTGCAAACATTGCCTGTTTTTTGCATGACCACATCAGGGTGGAGTGGACCTTTTTGCGGCTGGGAAGTTGATTTGCTCTGGTGCTTTTCCATGGAGCAAAGGTTTTGTGCATTTATCCCTATGTATGTATATTTATATGTGAAGAGACGCTTTCGGATGTATTTTGTGAGTCCTCCTCCATTGGAAATGCCTGAAGGGGAAAAAACCCTCAAATGGGGTCATGTTTGTTAGGGTCCCCAGGTCAGGCAGTTTTCTGCCCCCAAGACCAGAAATGCCAAAAAGCAAAGGCCAAGGAACTGGACAGAAGTCTTCCTCTGCTATTGAGAAAATGTTGTTGTTGTTGTTGTTGTTATTTTGAAAATATTAAACTGTGCAGAGGGCCCTGAACTCTTTAAAAGGTCTAGAAGCTAGCAAGAGGAAGTGAATCACCTTCTCCCCATTTATTTGGGCCAGATAAGGGCTATTTGGGGCAACAAAAACACTTGTGGAGGGGGTTAAAAAAAGGGATGCCTTGGGTTGTCTGGAAGGGTCAAAGGCCACGAAAGCAGCCCTGGATGACCAGATATGGCCCAAGGGCTCCATTTTGGCTCACCTCTGGCAAAGGTGTTGTTCTTAAGCTGGGTGAAGGAGGGCAGCGCAAGGAGCCCCTTTGTGTTTGGGGATGAGAAGAGTGGCCCAAGGATTTTGGGGGTGCCGGGGGCCACAGAAATGGCCTTGGGGCGTCCTGTGGCCCTGGGACTAAGTGTTTTTGCAGCCCTTGGCAGCCTTTGCATTCCTGTTGCATGGACACCTCTGGTTCCCTTGCTTCTGAAGGGCGTCAATGGGGAGATTTTGGGGTGCGATTTGTGGGGTGATGGTGGGAAGGGGCTGCCTTCTTCTGGGTCTGGGGGCTCCGCTGGATGGGCAGGAAATGAAGGGCAGCAGCAACAATACAGTGCCCCCCCCATTTGCAGACTCGGAGTCCGCGGTCTCGCTCTTTGTGGGGAGGGACAAGCGCCTGTAGTTAAAATGGGGGCGCATGCATGCGTGTGTGCGTGCCATTCGTTTCAATGGGCTCCAATATTAGCCAGCCGCCATTTTTGCGTGGATGTGTCTGGAACGCCCCCCCCCCGCAAATTGGGAGGGACAACTGTAATCGTATTTCTTAGCCACCTCTTACAATTAACAGACAAACAACTTCAGTTAAAAAGAAGACATCAGTTAAAACTCACATCAGTTTAATGAATAATAAAATAAATAATAAAGCTTTTATTTGTATCCCGCTTTTCTACTATAATAGCAATCAGAGTGGCTTACATGTTAAAACAAACCAATACAGTACGTAATAACAGTACATGATTATATATATATATATATATTAGCCCCCCCTTAAACAAAAGGACAAATAAGATGTATGCATGTTGAAACGATTTACATTTAAAATTCATGGTTTTTAAAAAGTCATCTGGATAAACCTGCCGGAAGAGACTGGTCTTTAATGCTCTTTCAAATTGAGGCAGTGTATTCAGTGTATTCAGCTGTCGGATCTCTTTTGTCAGTCCTTCCGCAGTTTTGGGGCGGCTGAGGACAAAGTGAGTCTGCCCCATTTCGTGCCCCCCCAAGCCCCCCCCCAACAGCTCCTCCAAACCCAGAAAAGCCTGTTGGGGAGGGGAGGGGAGGGGAGGGAGGGGTATTGAGAAAATACCTGGCGCCAGGTGTCGCTGCGCTTCTGCGTTAAAGTGCCATTCCTTGCACACAAGTGCAGTGATGCAGACAGAAGATGCAGCTGCAGGTAAAGGTGTGTCCAGGCTTCCTGGGCGTTGGAGTGGCCTGAGAGGGAAGGATCTGGGGGGGGGG